GAATAGTGTGTGGAATGGGACGGGTGACAACTTGAGGTTGTACCGGTTCACTCTCTTCATTAGGCATTCTAACTTGATTGTCTACTACCCTACCACTTCTCAAGGTTGTTACCGCATTGACATGCTTAACATTATGCCCTTCCAATAAGGATTTGGTTTCTACAACACATTGTTGTTTGATTGGGGCATTCATGTGCATCTTTCCCTTCTCTCTAGCATTAAGTGTTTCAGCTATTTGCCCTACTTGGGTTTCTAGCTTGGCAATTGATTGAGAATGAGAATGCAACAATTGAGTATTTGCTTCTAGAGTGCCCAAAGCATTTAAAACTTTTTCCTCAAAAGCGGAACCTCTAGAATTTCCTTGAGAATATGATTGGTTAGGAAAATGAGAATTAACAAATTGATTTCCTTGTGAGTTATATGGTCTTGAACCTTGGGATCCTTGGTTTTGAAGTGGAGGTGGAATGTATATCCCTTGAAAACCGCCTTGGGAAGAGTTCAAGCCCTCCCCTTGGTTTTTCCAAGAAAAATTAGGATGATTCCTCCAACCGGGATTGTAATGGTTACCATAAGGATTGTTCCCTTGGTTCACAAATGTTGCATTAACTTGCTCAATGGGTTCATTTTGAATTTGTCTATGAGGACAATTAGAAGTAGAATGAAGAACACTAGAACAAGTCATACATGATTCATTTTGAGCTCTAGGAGAATGGTTAGGAAAGGAAGACACTTGATTCACCAAGTTTTGATTGATCAATTGATCAAACTTTTGAGATAAAGACTTCATCTCAGCGGTTATATCATTTGAGTGGTCAACTTGATGCAAGCCAACACTCTTCCTACCTTGAGAATTTCTACCATTCCTAGATGACAATGTTCTATGCAAAGAGTTTTCACTCATGCTCTCATAAAGACGCCACACGTCTTCCTCTTGCCGGTCTATATAAGAACCTCCCATTGAAGCGTCAACCATGCCTTTATAATTGTCCGATAAGCTTTCAAAGAAGAATTGGACCAATTGCCATTCAGGCATGTCATGGTGAGGACACTTCCTAAATAATTCATTGAAGCGTTCCCATGCCTCGTGGAAAGTTTCTCCCTCCCCATGTGTGAATTCTCTAATGACGGTTCTCATAGCATTGGTCTTCGAAACCGGATAGTACTTTTTCAAAAATTCTTGTTGCATTTCTGCCCAAGAAGTTATAGAAAAAGGCCTAAGGTTGTTAAACCAATACTTCGCCTTATCTTTAAGGGTGAATGGAAAAAGTTTCAGCCTTAAAACTTCTTCCGGCATGTCCGTGTATCGAACGGTAGAACAAACTTCAAGAAACCCATCCAAATGCTTGTAAGGTTCTTCACTAGGAAGTCCATGAAACTTAGGTAGCATTTGGATAATTTGTGCTTTAATCTCATAATGGTGTGCTCTAAATGGTGGCAATTGAATGCATGTGGGTGCATTATACTCATTAGGCACATAATGATCTCTCAATGCGAGTGGTGGATTAGCAACTTGAGGTGCAACATGGACACCTTGGTTATATTGAGCTTGATTAATGATGGGGGGTTGTGGTGCATACATTGGCCTTGGAATTCCCATTGGAATTTGGCCTTGTTGTTGAGGAGGTTGATGAATGTATGGCCTAGGCATGCCTAATGGAACTTGCATATTATCATTTTGCACATTAAGGTGAAGGATGCCTTGTTGGTCTATGTGACCAAGGTCTTCAACATGATCATCATTGAGAGCGTCCATTGGTAGATTGGTTCTATGTGAACTTCCTCTTCCCCTTGGATTCCTAATAGTGGATTCTAAATGCAAATCAAGAGGAACAAGAGTAGGTCTCAATGAACGACAACCATGCATGCACAATGCAGCACGAATAAGCAACTTTTTCAACAATGCAATTAAACTTCACAACCACAATTTTCAAATGCAATGTATGTCAAATAAATGCCTCCACGTGGGCCCCCGATTTAACTAAGGAGATTGAGTAAGAAGGTCTCACAATAGTCCTTTAGCACTTCAACTCCAAATTTAAAAGCTTAGCTTAGCAAAAAAAACTTTAGCAACTCTTCATTTTTAGCATTTTTTTTTTCCTTTTTGCTTGCTTTGCTCCTTAGCTTTGAAGTTCTTTGCTAGCTCCTTGCTCAATGCATCTTGTTAATGAAGAACAAACTTAATAAGTAATAAAAAATAGAAAATAAAAAGAAAGTAAAGACACGATCAAAAGAGTACTAATCCTAATTGAATTTCACAATTCGACGTTGCCAATTTAAAATCCCCGGCAACGGCGCCAAAAACTGACCGGTCCTCTTTTACAAGGGTCGCGATACCAAGTCAAGCTTGAAAGTTGTGTGAGAATTTAGGAGGTCGCCAAGTTTTACATTTATAAAAAGCCACTACTACCTTTCTCTATATAAAATATAGATAGGGCGAGTAGGGATCGTCCCAAGGGATTTGATGGTGTATCGAATTGTGAAAATATGGTAATTAGGGTTAGTAGGTCGAGTGATCACACAATTGGTTGGTTGGTTGATTAAGCTAAATTGAATTCAACTAAATAAAATAATATGAGGTAAACAAGAGAGAGAGAGGTCTTGGGGTGTAGAGATCACCACCAAGCAATACTTTTCTATACTACTAACAAGTGATCAATTGAGGGTAATGGATGTGTTGCAATATGATAAGGTTGTGTGTGCATTAGGTTGATTCAATTGGCAAGGATGACAAATCAAGCAAGTATTGTCTAAACATCATGTGAAGAGCACAATATATCTAAACAATAGAGCATATATTGTCTAGACAACATGGGGATAACACAATAGATCAAACAAGTCATTAATCCTTCATTAAGCTCACAATCCACATGCAACACAATATTAGAGGAATATGCCATTTGGACTCACAAGCATGGAACATCAAACATCAAGAGTAGATTGTCCTCCCATCTAACATTACACTACCACTACACTAAATCTACACTACTAGCATGAAAATAAAGTTATCTAGACTAGGGGAGAGGCACAAACCATCAAGAATAGGCATAAACCATCAAATGAACCAAAATAGCATTCATTAAGCATATCATCTTGATAATCTCTAGATCTATAGCATCAATACACATAGACATGCATCAAAAACACTAAATCTAGAGATAAGCACATGAATATCCTACTCTAGCATACATAGACATATGGATAGAATAGAATAGTCAATTGGAAGCATTAAACCATACAAACCATGAAATAATCAAGATTTATATATACATGAATATCAAGATGTATCATACAACACTAATCCCTCAATAATACACAAGATTAGAGTATAGAAAACATGTTTGGGGCTAACTCTAGCCCCAAGAAGATGTCTAGCCACTCATGGTAGTGATGATCCAACCCTCAAGGGCTAACTCCATGGCTGCTCCTTGTTGGTGAAGATCTCCTCCAATGGTTGCTCTAGCTTCCTCCCTTCTTCCTCTCCAAGAATAGCCTCCAAGATGATTTTCAATGTGTGACAAGAGACTCTAGAGCCCTCTTCAAAAAGTGTATCATATTCCTTATATAGGTAGGTCAAATACACCCTATGATGAGCTGTGGTCGTGCAAGGCATATTCTCCAATGATTGGATGAAGGACGGAATAAATGAGCTGGACTTTAACTTTTTCTCGCTGGAGGAAGTTCGATCGATCGAACCTTAACTTGGATTGATCGAAGATGGGTTCGATCGATCGAACTGCATCTTGGATCAATCGAAGTGGTCTGACTCCTCCGGATAAGGACAAGGCTGAGAAATTTCGAAGATATTTATGGGGAAAAGGACAAAAGTGGTTGGTAGGCGTACAGCTATGGATAAGATCAATCATTTGAATAGGACAAAATAGGGTTCGATCGATCGAAGGTGATGTTGGATCGATCGAACTTAGAATTTCAGCAAAGGCCAAGGTTAGATCTATCGAGAAGTACTGTGATCGATCATAGATGTTCGATCGATCGAACTCTAAGTTGGATCGATCGAACTTTTCAGCTGCACAACTTTGATTCCTTTTTGCTCCTTTCTTTCTCCACTTTGCTCCCTCCTTTGGTTTATCTCAGGATTGCTTCAATTAAGCTCTTATTTGGCTGAGTTAGCTCAATTTTGGGATTAGTGCCTGAAAATATAAATAACACGTAATAAGTCTAAAGCGGCAAAGTAAGATAGATAAAGGTACTAGAATGCTTAAGCTTAACGGGTTTAAATGCGCACTTTTCAGTGCTCATCAAGATGAGCTGGAATAAGTTTAAGGAACTATTTTACGAGAAGTATTTTTCGCTTACCAAAAGATGGGAGTTGAAAGACCAGTTTATTGGCCTTATTCAAGGCAACATGTCAGTGGGGGAGTACGAGAACAAGTTCACTTCACTTTCTCGTTTTGCTCCAGAAATGGTGAAAGATGAAGTTGACAAGACTCAGAAATTTATTTCCGGTCTTACTGATAGAATAAGGACGTTGATAACGTCACAGTTTATCAAGGTTTGTTCCGAAGCAGCAGAGAGGGCTTTGATGCTTGAGGCTGATATCAAAGATAAGGATGTAAGGAGGGAACAATGGAAGCAAAAGAGAGATGCAAGGCCATCTTTAGAAGGATTTTCGTGGAAAAAGAATAAGGGTGGTTTGTTTCAGTTTCATGGGCAGCAGCCCATATGATCTGCTCCTACTACTCCTTTACTAGCTGGGTCTGACAAGAGTGGAGTCGTATGTTTTCAGTGCTAGCAGCCAGGGCATTGCAAGTCTAGCTGACTTTTGAGATCGTCTGCAGTTTCTTTAGCTCCAAGGGCTTGTTATAGGTGTGGCCAACAGGGTCACTTGATTCAAGACTGTTCGAGTCAGGGAGCAGGTACTGGTAGTGGCAGAGGGTCACGGTAGAGGCCATCACAGTCGGCTACAGTGCAGTCAGGGTTCAGACCGCTGCCACCACCATAGCCTACTATGTCTTTTCAGGGTTCACGAACCGTTAGCAGGGATGCTTCTACTGTGCCAGCGTAGCAGTCCGGTATTCAGGGTGGCAATTCTCAAGCACAGGCACCGCAAGGCCGTGTCTTTGTACATGCACCGGCTGATACCTCTTCTGGACCGTCAGTTCTTCGAGGTATCTTTCCAGTGTTTGGTTCTTGGGCCCGTATTTTGTTTGACTCTGGTGCATTTCATTCCTTCATTTCATCATCATTTGCACTTGTATTGGGGTTAGAGGTTAGTTCCATGGATCAGGTGTTATGTGTTGATATGCCAGTAGGGGTTTTGGTGTCCTTGGACCGAGTTGTTCGGGATTGTTCTATTGTGATAGCCGAGCGGACTTTTGTGTTTGGTCTTATCCTCCTAGAAATGACTAGCTTTGATATCATTCTCGGGATGGATTGGTTAGCTTTCTTTCGTGCCACGATTGATTGTTTCATAGGAAGAGTTACAGTTTGCACTCCTGAGGGAGATTGTTTCTTTTTCATGGGATATCGGAATGATTCCCAGTCTTCATCATTGTATGGAATTCGAGAACGAAGTCGTGGAGACTATTTCTTGGCTGGTCTTCTAGCCGAAGAAGATGATGTTATAAGAGAAGACTATCCGAAAGTAGTTCGTGATTTTTTGGATGTGTTTCCAGAGGATTTGACAGAGTTGCCTCCACACCGAGAAGTGGAGTTTACAATTGACTTGATGCCCGGTACCGCGCCGATTTCTATGGCACCGTATTGTATAACACCCATTGAATTGGAAGAGTTGAAGAGGCAGCTTGATGATTTGAGGATGAAAGGTTTCATCCGACCCAGTGTGTCACCGTAGGGCGCACCAGTCTTGTTTGCTAAGAAGAAAGATGGTTCTTTGAGGTTGTGCATTGATTACCGAAAGTTGAATTATGCCACCATCAAGAACAAATATCCTTTGCCAACAATAGATGATCTGTTCGATCAGTTGAAAGGAGCCGGTTCTTTCTCAAAGATTGATTTGAGGTCTGGCTATTATCAGTTGTGGGTTAAGGATGAGGATATCCCAAAGATAGCATTCCGTACATGGTATGGACACTATGAGTTCCTTGTTATGCCATTTGGTTTGATGAATGCACCAGCAGCATTCATGAACTTGATGAACCGCATCTTTCACTATTACTTGGACTAGTTTGTGGTAGTTTTTGTTGACGACATTCTTGTGTACTCACGGACTCGAGAGGAGCACGAGGTCCATTTGAGTACTGTACTACAGATTTTACAGGAACACCGATTGTATGTCAAATATAAGAAGTGTGAGTTTTGGCTACAAGAGGTAAAGTTTTTGGGACACGTTGTTTTGGAAGGAGGAGTGTCAGTCGATCCATCAAAGATTGAAGCTGTTCTGAATTCGGAGCAACCCAATAATGTTTTCGAGATCCAAAGTTTTCTTGGCCTAGCGGGTTACTATCGGAGATTTGTGAAAGATTTCTCCCATTTGGCAGCTTCTATGACCCGATTGACCCAAAAAGGAATCAAGTTTATGTGGAATAAAACCTGTGAGTCATCTTTTCAAGAGCTGAAGACAAGATTGACTACAGCTCCAGTGTTGGTGATACCTGAGCGTGGCTTGGGTTATGTGATTTATTGTGACGCTTCACGTGATGGTTTAGGATGTGTATTGATGCAGGATGGTAGAGTAGTGGCTTATGGGTCTCGACAGTTGAAGACTCACGAGCTTAACTACCCTACTCATGATCTGGAGTTAGCAGCAGTCGTGTTTGCCTTGAAATATTGGAGACACTACTTGTATGGTGAAAGGTTTGAAATGTTTTCAGACCACAAGAGTCTCAAATACCTTTTCTCCCAAAAGGACTTGATTAATAGATAAAGAAGATGGGTTGAATTCTTAGAAGATTATAATTTTAATTTGCAGTATCATCCGGGCAAGGCAAATATGGTAGCAGATGCCTTAAGGCGGAAATCTAGTGAAACTTTGGCTGGGTTAGCTATTCAGAAATGGAAGATGCTTAATGATCTTGTTTAGTATTATGGCTCAGCCTACTCTTGTTGTAAGAGTGATTGAGTCACAAAGACAGGACTCGGATTTGGATGCCATTCATACTTTAATCTCCAATGGTGAGACAATGAAAGATTGGACCTTGCATGCAGATGGGGGTCTACGATTTAGGGGTTTGTTGGCGGTTCCCACAGCTTGTTGTGAGGACGTTCTTCGGGAGTTTCACACTTCCTACTTTGCAGTTCATTCAGGTGGTACCAAGATGTATCACAATTTGAAGCATCAGTATTGGTGGAACGGGATGAAGAAAGATGTTGCACAGTTTGTGGTTAGATGCCTTACCTGTCAACAGGTGAAGGCCGAGCATTAGAAACCTGCTGGGTTGTTGCAACCATTACCTGTAGCGCAATGGAAATGGGAGCATATTGCTATGGATTTTGTGACAGGTCTTCCAAGGTCACGGAGAGGTAACAAAGCCGTATAGGTCATCGTTGATAGATTGACCAAGACGGCTCACTTTTGCCTATTAAGGCAACAGATGACGCAGAGGCACTTGGTAATCTTTACGTAAAGGAGATTGTAAGGTTATATGGAGTTCTAGTAACCATTGTCTCAGATAAGGATACCAAGTTCACTTCAAAGTTCTGGGAAGGACTTCAAGCAGCGTTTGGCTCAGCATTGCACCTTAGTACGGCATTCCATCCACAGATAGACGGCTAGTCGAAGCGTACTGTCCAGATCTTAGAGGATATGCTTCGGGCATATGTGCTTGACTTGGGTGGCAGTTGGGAGGACCACCTTCCACTCATTGAGTTTGCATACAACAACAATTATCAAGTGAGCATTGAGATGGCTCCATTTGAGGCCTTATATGGCAGACCATGTAGATCTCCAGTTTGTTAGATTGAGGTAGGCGAAACAGCAGCCTTAGGACCTGACATTATACTCGAGACTACCGAGAAGATTAAACTGATCAGACAAAGATTACTTACAGCTCAGAGCCGACAAAAGAACTATACAGATAGGTGGAGACGACCGTTATCTTTTAAGGTGGGAGACCATATTTTTCTGCGGGTTTCTCCACGGAAGAGTTTGATGAGGTTTGAGAAAAGTGGCAAGTTGTCGCCACGATTCATTAGACCGTTTGAGATTTTGGACCGTGTAGGAGAAGTTGCCTACAGACTTGCTTTGCCACCACAGATGGACAAGGTTCACAATGTTTTTCATGTGTCGGTGCTACGGAAGTACGAACCGGATCCATCTCATGTGTTGGATTGGGTTGACGTGGATATTGATGAGTATATCTCCTATGAAAAGGGACCAGTGCAAATCCTTGACACACGGCAGAAGGTGTTGAGGGGCAAAACAGTACAGCTAGTAAAAGTTCATTGGAGACACCACGAAGTCGAGGAGGTTACTTGGGAGCTTGAACAGCAGGTTCGCTCCAGGTACCCAGAGTTGTTTCCTTCCCCAAGTACGGCTTGATTTCGGGGACAAAATCCTTTTTAAGTTGGGGAGATTGTGATGTTTCCAATTTTTAGAATTTTGCATTTTTCTGGAAATTTTGTCACCGTAAGGGCATTTCTGTCTTTTCACGTCTTGCGTGCGGGATTGTGGTTAGGGCCAATTGCGTTTCGTACATTATAATTTATGGGAATTATGTGGTATTAAGATGATGTGTATTTATATGTTTATGTGGTATATAATGGAGGAATAAAGAAAAAAAGAAAAATAAAAAGAAAATTGTGGGGCCCACCATCATTGGTCATAAGGCTAGAGACCACCCCTTTTTGGTCACACATTCTCTTCCTCTCCCGCTAGTTCTCCCTCTCTCTCCTTATTTTGCTTTTTCTTTTTCAATTACAACTTTAACTTTAGATCCCTCTCTCAATACTTAATCATTTGGGGTGCCATTTGCGGCAAATCGAAGCCCACGACGAGATCTTTCATTTGATCGGAGCAATTTGGTTTTTGGTGCACTATAGAAATTTCGAAATTATAGGGCACAATTGGGGATTTTGCATCATTTTAAGGTAGGGGCTTCTTAATTCATGTTTTATTGTTCCTTGGTGAATTATACCTTATTTATTGTTGCAAGCATGCTTAATTTGAAAGTTAATTGTTTTAAGATGATGTAATGTTGTTTAGAATAGCATGTTTAGATGTGGTGTTGCTATATTTATTGTGTTGATGAATTACTAGTGATGGTGAATCTGAAGCATGCTAAATTGTGTGGTGTAAATCTCTAAATTTTATGTCATTGAAAGGACGGAACATATATATGCACATCATGGGGTTGCATGAAGGGAATTGTTTTGAAATAAAAGAGGGGAATTTCGGGAAAGAGTTTTGATGAAAAGGTTTTATGAAAACCCGGTCGCCGCGGGGGTACCAAAGGGCCGGAAGGTTAATATAGCCTAGAGGTAACTAGGGAGACTGCCCTAGCGTGGTTGAGCTAGCTGGGCCTATAATGACATCGCGGGGGTACCAAGGGTCAGGGACACTAGCCAATCCTTCTTTCGTGTCGCTGCGGGGTCACCAAAGGGCGGGTTATATTAACAGTTTGAAAGTGACGTTTTTTTTTTTAAAATGAAATTGGGGAGCGACATCGACATGTATTGCACTCCCATTGCATCATATTGTGTATACTTGTGATTGATCATTATGTGGATTTTATCCCGATGATGAGCACTGAAAAGTGCGTGTTTAAACCCCTTAAGCTTAGGCATTCTAGTGCATTTATCCATCTTACTTTACCGTTTTAGATTAATATCGTATTATTTCTATTTTCAGGCACTTATCCTGAAAATAAGCTAACTCAGCCAAATAAGAGCTCAATTGAAGCAATTCTGGGATTAATCAAAGAAAAGAGCAAAGTGGAGGAAGAAAGAAGCAAAATGAAGCAAAGCAGCAAGTTCGATCGATCCAAGTCTAAGGTTCGATCGATCGAATTATGACCCTGGTTTTTAGGCCAGCGTGTCCTGTGATGAACCGCAAGGATGACCCGATAACGGATCCGAATGTGGAAGCGAAAATGGAAAACAAGACTCTAAGAAGTCAAAGTGACCTTCCATGAGGTCGTGGAACTTAACAAGAACTGATGCGGAAGCAAAAGATCGATAATATGACAAATAAGCCCCCAGGGAGTCATTTCTAAAAACTATAGATTCGAGTGCCATCGAGCACACTGCTGGAAGGACAACGAAAAACTAATCAAGATGGACTCAAGAATCGCATGATTTGGAGTCCGGACAAAGGAGAAACGGCCTGACGAAGAAAAATGAGCACTTAAGGCTAAAAGGGTAAACTTGTAATTATCCAGGAAGATCCGGGTGCAACCGAGCACAACGAGGGTTTGAAGTTGAGACGTCGCGGCGGCCCGACAAAGGCCATGGCGCACACGGCGCCCATACGCGAGCCCACCGGCGCGCATGCTGGCGCCCAATGACATGGCTGGTGGCAGCCCTTGGCTGCTGCTACATTTTTTTTTATCTGCCCAGAACTGAGGCTTGAAACGGAGGTCAAGACGAGTTTTTCTGGAAAAACATGAAGAAGAAACCCCCCCTAAAATCGAGTTTTCTACCTGGTTTCGGGAAGGAATGAAAAAAAACTCACTGTGAAATCCTCAAAATGCCCCTAGATCAGATTGAACGAGAGGGTTAAAAGTTGCTACAGTGACTGTCTGCAACTGAGAGCAAAAATGGGCTAGAAGATGAATTTTTCTGGAAAAACACAAAAAATAAACCCCCCTCAAAATTGAATTTTCTACGTGATCTATGCCAGAATTAAAAAAAAAAATGCAATGTAGAATGCCTGAAATGCCCCTCCATGAAATCTAG